ATACCATGAACAACCACCTTGGGCGTCGGGAGATCTGGGCGTCGGGAGATCTGGGCGTCGGGAGATCTAGTTTCGCTTTTTGACCATATTGACAAAATGCTTCGTCACGGAGGTATTCCGTAAAGTTCGCAAGCGCATCGGAAGAAAAAACGCCATCGTCTTGTAGGAGGGAGTCGTAGTACTTCAGTCGTTGTCCGCGGACACATAATAGGGTCCAATGCACTCAAATTTTATGGACAGGAATCAATACCATGTCGTACGAAAAAATATTGACAACTTTTGCCCATCTTGCAACCCTTTCATGTCGACATCCGCCACCGACGAGCTTGGTACAGAAAAAGAGACTGAAAATGTAAAGAGAGGGACACCCAGGCAACGCAGCGTTGCGAAGCAAGGCCAAGTACGACTCCACTACCTCGTCGGCAAACCATCCCCCCTGAACAAGAGTCTGAAGACTTTTTCCGCTCAACGGAATAGAACAGACCCCTTTGCGAATCGAGGAAACCACCTCGTCGTCGTTGCTGAAATCTCCGCAGACATCCTACAACATTCTCAAGTCTGTAGTGCTAAGATCCTCAGTAGGCAAGGAAACGCGAAAACATGATGTAGCCCAAGATGCACAAACACCCACGAACAAGTGTGAGGAGTGACCAAAATCACCGGGGCGAAATGACTAAGAACTGTGTGCCCTTTTTCCAGAAAAATTGTATCCCCGACTGTTGAATGTGTCCTTGGTGATGTACTTAGGATACGGGTCTTTCAAGATACCATGTTTGGCATTGTCATCAAACCCATAAGACAAAGCAGTAACGCTTTTCAATAGACTCAGCCAAATGTTTTTGCAAACCTTCCTCCTTATCTATTCCACAAGCCTTCAAAACCCTGACAACTCTCTGGGAAAGGCGAGGCATCTCGACCCTTTTAAACAACCCTACACTTCACGACGACTTCTTCAGTAAAACGGCCAATGACCTCCCAGAAAAACATTTCCCGCGCATGGTTTTTGAAGGCTTCATGGGCAGGGACATTGACAACGTCACACCTGTAAAACATAGAAAACAACCCACAACCCACAAGTTTTTTTTCAACACGTGGTAATAGGTACATGAGCCCATCACATGAATTTAGATGAACACAGAGCTGGCTAGTGACAGATATGCGAGTGCTACTATTCACAAATTTTACCGTGCTCGGGAGCCCTAGGAAGGAAATCGCCCTCCTGTCGCGCCACTGTGCCAACGTCCACGGAGGATTCGACGTTCTGCAGCTCTGTGGCAACTAAGTCGCTACGCAACTCGATAGCTTCATAAAATACCATTTCCCGACCGGTACTGAGGACAGACGCTCGATCACCCTGTTCTTTACTACAACGGGTGAACGGAGAATCATGATATTTCCGCTCATATTCCATTTAGATGCCGACCGCCACCTCACCGCCTTCGACGGAAGATTCGACGTTCTGCACCTCGGCCACGCCTGAGTCGCTAACCAGCTCGGTGGCAGCCGAGTCGTTACCCAAGTCGATGGCTTCATGAAGTGCAATTTCCCGACCGGTGCTGAGGACAGACGCCCGATCACCTTGTTCTTCACCGCAGCGGGTGGGCGACGAATCATTATCTTTCCGCTCTAGATCCATCTAGTTAACGACACCCTCTCGCGTCGTGGCTACAACCGACCGACTGTGCAAAACCTCTTCGGACGTCCCGGTCACCAGCACTCCTGCATCGAGCCCCTTCAGCACTTCGTGAGCCGGCCAGTGTTGAGTCTCCTCTTCCCGCTGCAGAGCATGCGTTTCCCCCGGAGTCGCTGTACCCTTGCTGTCAGAGTCCACAGACGCACCCTCCGAAGCATGACGTTCATACTCACTACCCCCGGTCTCCAACACTTTGCGAGACTGCTAGTGTTGAGTCTCCTCTTCCCGCTGTACAGCATGCGCTCCCGTTGAGAGCTCCTCTTCCCCAGGAGTCGATGTACTCTTGCTCTCAACGTCGAGGCATACACCCTCCGGAGCATGACGTTCATACTCGCCACCCCTGGTCTCCTATACTCCTGCAACGTTCCCCTCCAACACTTTGCGAGACTGCCTATCTCGAGTCTCAAAATATGAGAACGGAGGTGAGCAGGGGAACCCTTTGCCCGAATGAAGATGTGGGGGGTAGGACGTCACATTTTCTTGGCCCCGCGGAGCTGTAGCGGGAGGAGCACTTCAGGCGGAAGGCCTCCAGGGCGACGTCAGCAACTCCGAATCTATTCGGAGTTTGTAGCGCTCGTCGGAGCTGAGGGAACTGACGGTCGCACCTTCGCTCCGTCGCAATGCAGGCATCTCGGCCTTTAGGCAAAACGAAGACGCAGTTCCTATCAAGGAAAAGTTTCGCCGCTCAGGAGATGCTGCCGTATGCTGCAGACATTCGCCCTCTTCCAGGAGTAAGGTGTTGTGCACAGGAGACCTCTTCTGCGCACGGCGGGAATGACTCTCCTCGACATCGGGAAATAAAGTCCTCGCAGACAAGTGCGAATCTACTCGCAATTGATTAGACCTCAAGGTGGCCACGTCTCGCATGTCGGAGTCTCGACTGCCTACGCAGTGGATGTCAGTTTCCCTACACTCGAGACTCCCGGACGTTCTACGCTTTCCGCCCGACCCCTTTCCTCCTGACCCGTTCCCGCCCGATCCCTTCCCGCCCAACCCCATTCCAGCCAACCCCTTTCCGCCCGACCTCTTTCCGCCTGACCCCTTTCCGTCGGACGCTTTTTGTCCTGACGATGTTTCGCCTGACCCCTTTCCGACAAATCATGAGCTGTCTCCTCCGCCACCTCCGCCGTCTCCTTCGTCTCCTCCTCCACCGCTTCCCGGATGCTGACTGCCCGATGAAGGTTGCGGCATGCACCAGTCAATGCCACGAGACGGTGCCATTTTGAGTATGTAGAAAGGCGCTCGAAACTCCAACATTTTGTCATCGTGCAGCTCGTGGGGCTTCTGGCCTGCATACTCACTGACGTCCGAGAGACTCCTTTCGGGGTTCATAACACTCAAATGCTCCACCAGAGCATCTCTCGCCTTTTTCTTAAATGGACCCGCTCCCAGTCTGTTCATGCCACTCCACTTGTCATCGGCTTCCTTCATTGCCATGACCCACTTTCGAGTCTTTACAGCAGGTTGGAATATCCTTGGGTGCCAGACGACGTTGTGGCCCCAGACATCCTCCGGCATGAACTAGTGATGCTTTCCGAAGAAGAAGAGTCTGTCATTCTCCCAGATATCATGGTCCCCACTGGCAGGGAGCTTGTCACAAGGTTTGTAATCATAGTCTTTCTCTTCCTCCTTGTCATCAGACGATTGGTCCTCGACTGTTCCGCACTCAAACACACGCTTCAAAGTGGTAGGGGACATGCTATATCTCCAAGGAGCACCTTCCCCTTCATCACCAACCTGTGCAACCACCCGAGGAAGTGACATGGACTTGAAATCGAAGGTTTCAGAGCTGGTCAGCTCCTCCATGTCTTCAGCGTCGAAAGGGTCCTCCTTGTCAAACTGCGCCTTGTAGTTTTCGAGGGTGAGCGGTTCGTCCATCAAGAAGAAAACGTGCTCCAGCCTTCTCAGGAAATTCGAGACGGACTCCCTGGGGGCATCGTGGTAACCATTCACCACACCGAACACCAGGTTTCTCCGTCGATTGTATTTGAGGTCGGTCAGAGCAGGCGGTCCGGGTTGGAAAATGAAGTCTCAAACCTCCGTCCTTTTGTTCCCCGGCAATTTCCAATACATGTCACGTTTGGGATCCCAGTTCCGTTCGCCGGTGGTCTGGACAAAAGAGCAATTGTTGCAAGGGTCTGCCACGCATGTCTTCACAAACTCGTAAAGGTCATCGATCATCTTCGCCTCGTCCTCCAGCGCAACAACGTTCCAACCGTTCCGCAGGAGCTCCCACACGACAGACGCATGCGCCTTCCCAAAGAAATAAACAGTTTGCCCAACTCTGCAAAAGTTTTTGAGTAGACCAAGTGGATGAGACGGGTTCCGCTCCCTGTCCCCGTAAGCAGCTCCACGAACACTTGTCATGCCGCCGTCGTCCCACTGGCTATGAGGGAACTTGTCCTCGTCCGCCACATCAAAACAGGCCACAGCCTGTCCTGATGGGTCCGATGAACAGACAGCTTTTGAGCGGGCCGCCACCGCATGTTTGTCCGGACTGGGACAATGAGCACGGGGAACCTTTGTTGGGCTACTGGCCGGGAAGACTGCAACTGTGTTGTCTGCCAGGTTCTCGCCATTGAAAACCACCTACAAGCGATCACACTCCTCAACCAGCATATTGCCTTCCCGGACAGTGACCTGCCTTTGTGCATGGCGCACCCACTTCCCTGTCCCGACGTGATGGACGTTAAGCCTGGCCATGCCTTTCAGGAAACTGAGCTCCCAACGAGAGGGGAAAAATACTACAAGTGCCCAGTGCGTTGGCGACAGTATTTGGAGAACGCCTTGCAAGGAGGCGAAATCGTCTTCTCGCCAGTCTGAGAGGAGTGTGGGATCACACAAATCGAGGACGTACAGGTTGCACACATAATGTCGCACAACCTCATGGATCTTAGTGAGACGATTGTGAGCTTGGGAAGGCAAACAACGGAAAGGAATAAGGCTAGTCACCCGGTTGAGCTTGTGCCATTTGATGTGCCTCACATCCCCGCTGACCTTGATCGTGTCTCAGACTTCTTCTTCCGTCCGTCTTTAAGATGGAACAAACGGACTTTTCGAAAAATTTAGGGAATTTGTCATCATCGTACATTCTCTTCGTTTTGTCGAGGGACTCCTTCTCGTATGGAAGAGTACGTTTGCAAGTGTTCACGTACTCCATTGCGCCTTGGAAATGCTTTCGCAGTTCGACCCACACCTGTTTCGTGAGGCCCTGCGGCCCGAACTCCCCCAGAAACTGCCCCTCGGTCCAAAAAAAAAGGGCTCCCGTAGCGCCAAACCTCTGCGTCCTCCTCCGTTTCAGGGAACAAGATGTAATGAAATATGCGGAGCATCATGCGGTCCACTTTCCTCGTCGCGACCATGTCTTTAATTCCAGGCTTATGTTGACGTTTCGGATGCCCGCCTGTCGATTGCACGAACACTCCCCTAAGTGCGCGAATGTCGTCGAGGATTGACAGTTTTTCGGCATCGATCATGTCGGTGAGAGACTGCCAAAAGAACATGTCCGGCTCCTTCACTACGACGAAAAATTTGTCGTTCGATTGCGTTTTCTTTTTGGTCAGAGGCGGCGGGACCTTGACCAGTCACCCCATCTTCGTTTCACCAACCGCCCCTTTCGTGCCCATTTCCGGAATTGCTTGAAGACCCGGAGATTTGTCTGGCCTGTATTTGCCCGGCTTCGACAAGGGCGTTTTCCCGTTGCCGCCCAACAACTTCCCCTCCGCATATTTCTCGTAGAACTCCATGCCTTTGCGGACAACGTCATCACCGGCCGTCACGAGCGACATCGACTGCCTCAACGCATTGCCAATGGCAGCGACGTGCTCCTTAAAACGAGCGTTGTCGCTTTGCGTGCCATCGTCCAGTGAGCCCTGTTCGGACTCTTTCCCAAAATCAGTTCTTGGAACTAAAAAAACATTTGTTTTTCGGCCTCCTTACCGGAAGGGTTCCCTTGAATGGCCACCGACCTTCCTTGATTCTCCCATGCCTCCCCCATGTCCTCGAAAGCGGTTTTCTGCGTACGCTACTTAGACATCTTGTGTCTTGTGTTCTCCGTGAGACTGACCTGCAAATACACCCCGAAGTCTTCGTCGGAGAACCAGACTACTCTCGCCGGCCACGAGTGCATCTTCCACAATTCGAATATTTGTTCACCGACCAACTCCTTCACAACAGCCACGGTGTTTTGCCCGTTGACAGGGTAATAGAAGTACTTGTCCCTGTCCTCTGGCTTGAAGACATCTTTGTGAACCCTCTCAGCTCTCTCCGCCTCCTGCATCACTGACTTGTAGATGGGTGCCAGAACCAAAGGGTTCTTCGTCGAGATCTTCCCCTTTTCCTCGTGGAACTGCCTTAGCATCGCACCCTTGATGTCCTCCACACCATCACGGGTGAGACTGCGGCGGTTGTAATATCTTTCCCATGGCGGGGTGTCGTAGACCTTCTTAGGGTCGATGAACAGTTGAACGGGGAGCTCCTTCTCCACTATCTCACCGTCATCGTTCCGCTCGTACTCGAGCCCGAACGTTGCCGCTTCGTTGAACTGCCTACCGACAGCCCGTTCGCTACCGCTCGCCCCCTCAACAGTCTTCCTCCTCTGAGGTTTCTTCTGGCCATCACCTTCTTCAGCTACGAGTTTTATTTTGGATTTCTTTGAAGGTTCTCTCGCGGTGGCAGCCCCCGGATGAGCCGAATCTCCTCCACCCATAGCTTTCCCATCGCGGATGGTCAAACCGTCGGGCCTCCTCGCTTTCTTACTTGTCGCTGCACCCACTTCCTTCGACAGCCTCTTTTCGACTCCTTGTTCTTGTCCGCCACACATCCCTGGCGTCCTCTTTCCCGAGGCACGTTCTCTGACGTCACCTCCATCCCTGCCAATCATCGGCTCCGAATGTCCTTTCATCCTTTCAATGCGGCGGATTTCTTCCGCCACTTCCTCCCGCACCATCCTCTGTCGCTCGCGCTTCTTCTCCGAAGAAGTCGGCTCCCCGCTAGAGCTGTCGCGGACAACGCCCATCCCTTCACCCTCATTCCCTCCAACCTCTTGCCCCGATATGCCGGATTCTCTTCCCGTCTCATCTCAAATCGAATACGTGTCGCCCTGGCAGACGACCTTAAGGGTTTTCGGAGTACCGAACCGCTGAGTCCCAGCATGTGGAGAATGCAAGCCAAACGTGTTCCCAAGAGCATCCGTGCCGACCTGCGTCTGAATGCTACGCGCGCGCCCCTTGCCCTGACCCCAAGTGTCGTGAATTGCACTCCCGTGCCCCACTGGCGTCTCAGGGATTTCTTGAGCCAAGCCGGACAAACCTTCATGGGCTGGCAGAAGCCGGAAAATATATTCTCACGGAAGAACCAGACGCTCTTTCGGCACCATCAGCGCGAGATCGATGTATTCCACTGACGGTGGGAGACGCTTGCTGTAGCCATCGTAAAGCCCTTTGAAGTGACGATACAGCGACATGTTCGTCCCGTACCCCGCGAAACTCTTGATGACCACTATCACACCTTTAACACCTCTGTAAGGCAGTCTGCACTCGTCGTACAAGACGTTAGTGTGCAGCTTGAGAAAAACTCTACAAATCTTGCGGTACGAGACGATGGTACCGAGAGGAATAACGTTGTCCGCTCCCTCACCGTCTGGAACGCAAGTGGGTCGCATAAAAACAACTGGCCCAACAAGGCTCCGTGAACAACGAAGTTCAAAAACCATTGTGCATACCTTGTATAAAAATACAGAGGAGTAAATTGCTGAAGAGGTCGTCCATCCCCGGGGGCAGACGGCCCAGCGCTTGTGGATATGTTCTTCGCGGACGCCATTTTACTCCCATCCGTAGACTAATACGCCAACCCCAGACCAAATCGAATGACCGGAAGGAAAGCCACGAGGTTTTCCTAACACTAAAAAACCGAAGCGCGACATAAGAGACGGGTGTTTGAAATGCACACGAAGTCACAACGATTGGGGAAAGAAGAGGAAAGACAACACTACTCTGGCAGAGTGAGTTCGGAGGAAAGACAACAACTCTTCAGGAAGAGTGCGAACCGTCTCACTATCCTCGAAACGAGGAATAGGCGGTTTATGTTCGGGAAAGTGCGAACTAACTCGGAGTTCTGGGAATGAAGACCTTAGCAATTCGGAAAAAGTGCGAACCGACTCGCTGTCCTCGAAACGAGGAAGAGGCGGTTTATGTTCGGCAAAGTGCGAACTAGCTTAGAGTTCTGGGAATGAAGACCTTTGCAACAAGTACCGCTCGGGGATTGACAAGTGGAGGGTGTCGACAAGTGCGAACTAACTCCCTGTTCTGGAGACAAGACAACAATTGCAACCCGCAGTTATGGAAATGTGAAAGTCACGTTTAAGAAGAAGGCGGCTTATCT